GGGGTCACTAGCAGTCACTGGGGGTCACTAGCAGTCACTGGGGTCACTAGCAGTCACTGGGGTCACTAGCAGTCAATGGGGTCACCAGCAGTCACTGGGGTCACTAGCAGTCACTGGGGGTCCCCAGAAGTCACTGGGGTCACTAGCAGTCACCTGGGGGTCTCTAGCAGACACTGGGGTCACTAGCAGTCACTGGGGTCACTAGCAGTCACTGGGGGTCACTAGCAGGGGGTCACTAGCAGTCACTGTGGTCACCAGCAGTCACTGGGGGTCAATAGCATTCAATGGGGGTCACTAACAGTCACTGGGGTCACTAGCAGTCACTGGGGTCACCAGCAGTCACTGGGGGTCACTAGCAGTCACTTCGGTCATTAGCAGTCAGTGGGGGTCACTAGCAGTCACACACACTAGGTCACTGGGGTCACTAGCAGTCACTGGGGTCACTAGCAGTCACTGGGGGTCACTAGCACTAGCACTGGGGTCACTAGCAGTCACTGGGGTCACTAGCAGTCACTGGGGTCACTAGCAGTCACTGGGGTCACTACTAGCAGTCACTGGGGTCACTAGCAGTCACTGGGGTCACTAGCAGCAGTCACTGGGGTCACTAGCAGTCACTGGGGTCACTAGCAGCACACTCACTGGGGTCACTAGCAGTCACTGGGGTCACTAGCAGTCACTGGGGTCACTAGCAGTCACTGGGGTCACTAGCAGTCACTGGGGGTCACTAGCAGCAGTCACTGGGGTCACTAGCAGTCACTGGCGTCACTAGCAGTCACTGGGGTCACTAGCAGTCACTGGGGTCACTAGCAGTCACAGGGGTCACTAGCAGTCAATGGGGTCACTAGTAGAAACTGAGGTCACTATCAGTCACTGGGGTCACTAGCAGTCACTAGGGGGGCCACTAGCAGTCACTGGGGTCACTAGCAATCACTGGGGTCACTAGCAGTCACTGGAGTCACTAGCAGTCACTGGGGTCACTAGCAGTCACTGGGGTCACTAGCAGTCACTGGGGGTCACTAGCAGTCACTGGGGTCACCAGCAGTCACTGGGGTCACTAGCAGTCACTGGGGTCACTAGCAGTCACTGGGGTCACTAGCAGTCACTGGGGTCACTAGCAGTCACTGGGGGTCACTAGCAGTCACTGGGGGTCACTAGCAGTCACTGGGGTCACTAGCAGTCACTGGGGTCACTAGCAGTCACTGGGGGTCACTAGCAGTCACTGGGGTCACTAGCAGTCACTGGGGTCACTAGCAGTCACTGGGGTCACTAGCAGTCACTGGGGTCACTAGCAGTCACTGGGGTCACTAGCAGTCACTGGGGTCACTAGCAGTCACTGGGGTCACTAGCAGTCACTGGGGTCACTAGCAGTCACTGGCGTCACTAGCAGTCACTGGGGTCACTAGCAGTCACTGGGGTCACTAGCAGTCACAGGGGTCACTAGCAGTCACTGGGGTCACTAGTCACTGGGGTCACACTGGGGTCACTAGCAGTCACTAGGGGGGCCACTAGCAGTCACTGGGGCCACTAGCCATCACTGGGGTCATTAGCAGTCACTGGGGTCACTAGCAGTCACTGGGGTCACTAGCAGTCACTGGGGGTCACTAGCAGTCACTGGGGTCACTAGCAGTCACTGGGGGTCACTAGCAGTCACTGGGGTCACTAGCAGGGGGTCACTAGCAGTCACTGGGGTCACTGGGGGGGTCACTAGCAGTCACTGGGGTCACTAGCAGTCACTGGGGTCACTAGCAGTCACTGGGGTCACTAGCAGTCACTGGGGTCACTCACTGGGGTCACTGGGGGGTCACTAGCAGTCACTGGGGTCACTAGCAATCACTGGGGTCACTAGCAGTCACTGGGGTCACTAGCAGTCACTGGGGTCACTAGCAGTCACTGGGGTCACTAGCAGTCACTGGGGTCACTAGCAGTCACTGGGGTCACCAGCAGTCACTGGGGTCACTAGCAGTCACTGGGGGTCACCAGAAGTCACTGGGGTCACTAGCAGTCACTGGGGTCACTAGCAGTCACTGGGGGTCACTGGGGTCACTAGCAGTCAGTCACTGGGGGTCACTAGCAGTCACTGGGGGTCACTAGCAGTCACTGGGGGTCACACTGGGGGTCACTAGCAGTCACTGGGGTCACTAGCAGTCACACTAGGGGGTCACTAGCAGTCACTGGGGTCACTAGCAGTCACTGGGGTCACTAGCAGTCACTGGGGTCACTAGACAGTCACTGGGGTCACGAGCAGTCACTGGGGTCACTAGCAGTCACTGGGGGTCACTAGCAGTCACTGGGGTCACTAGCAGTCACTGGGGTCACTAGCAGTCACTGGGGTCACTAGCAGTCACTGGGGGTCACTAGCAGTCACTGGGGTCACTAGCAGTCACTGGGGTCACTAGCAGTCACTGGGGGTCACTAGCAGTCACTGGGGTCACTAGCAGTCACTGGGGTCACTAGCAGTCACTGGGGTCACTAGCTAGTCACACACTGGGGTCACTAGCAGTCACTGGGGTCACTGGGGTCACTAGCAGTCACTGGGGGTCACTAGCAGTCACTGGGGGTCACTAGCAGTCACTGGGGTCACTAGCAGTCACTGGGGTCACTACTGGGGTCACTAGCAGTCACTGGGGTCACTAGCAGTCACTGGGGTCACTAGCAGTCACTGGGGTCACTAGCAGTCACTGGGGTCACTAGCAGTCACTGGGGTCACTTGCGTCACTGGGGTCACCAGCAGTCACTGGGGTCACTCGCTGTCACTGGGGTCACTGGGGTCACCAGCAGTCACTGGGGACACTAGCAGGCTCTGGGGGTCACTAGCAGTCACTGGGGTCACTAGCAGTCACTGGGGTCACTAGCAGTCACAGGGGTCACTAGCAGTCACTGGGGGTCACTAGCAGTCACTGGGGGTCACTAGCAGTCACTGGGGTCACTAGCAGTCACTGGGGTCACTAGCAGTCACTGGGGTCACTAGCAGTCACTGGGGTCACTAGCAGTCACTGGGGTCACTAGCAGTCACTGGGGTCACTACTACAGTCACTGGGGGTCACTAGCAGTCACTGGGGGTCACTAGCAGTCACTGGGGTCACTAGCAGTCACTGGGGTCACTAGCAGTCACTGGGGTCACTAGCAGTCACTGGGGTCACTAGCAGTCACTGGGGTCACTAGCAGTCACTGGGGTCACTAGCAGTCACTGGGGTCACTAGCAGTCACTGGGGGTCACTAGCAGTCACTGGGGTCACTAGCAGTCACTGGGGGTCACTAGCAGTCACTGGGGGTCACTAGCAGTCACTGGGGGTCACTAGCATTCACTGGGGGTCACTAGCAGTCACTGGGGTCACTAGCAGTCGCTGGGGTCACCAGCAGTCACAGTGGTCACTAGCAGTCACTGGGGGTCACTAGTAGTCACTGGGGGTCACTAGCAGTCACTGGGGTCACTAGCAGTCGCTGGGGTCACCAGCAGTCACAGTGGTCACTAGCAGTCACTGGGGGTCACTAGTAGTCACTGGGGTCACTAGCAGTCACTGGGGGTCACTAGCAGTCACTGGGGTCACTAGCAGTCACTGGGGTCACTAGCAGTCACTGGGGGTCACTAGCAGTCACTGGGGGTCACTAGCAGTCACTGGGGTCACTAGCAGTCACTGGGGTCACTAGCAGTCACTGGGGTCACTAGTAGTCACTGGGGTCACTAGCAGTCACTGGGGGTCACTAGCAGTCACTGGGGATCACTAGCAGTCATTGGGGTCACTAGCAGTGACTTGGGGTCACAAGCAGTCACTGGGGTCACCAGCAGTCACTGGGGTCACTAGCAGTCACTGGGGTCACTAGCAGTCACTGGGGTCACTAGCAGTCACTGGGGTCACTAGCAGTCACTGGGGGTCACTAGCAGTCACTGGGGGTCACTAGCAGTCACTGGGGTCACTAGCACACTGGGGTCACTAGCAGTCACTGGGGTCACTAGCAGTCACTGGGGTCACTAGCAGTCACTGGGGTCACTAGCAGTCACTGGGGTCACTAGCAGTCACTGGGGTCACTACTAGCAGTCACTGGGGTCATTAGCAGTCACTGGGGTCACTAGCAGTCACTGGGGTCACTAGCAGTCACTGGGGGTCACTAGCAGTCACTGGGGTCACTAGCAGTCACTGGGGTCACTAGCAGTCAATGGGGTCACCAGCAGTCACTGGGGTCACTAGCAGTCACTGGGGGTCACCAGAAGTCACTGGGGTCACTAGCAGTCACTGGGGTCACTAGCAGTCACTGGGGTCACTAGCAGTCACTGGGGGTCACTAGCAGTCACTGGGGTCACTAGCAGTCACTGGGGGTCACTAGCAGTCACTGGGGTCACTAGCAGTCACTGGGGGTCACTAGCAGTCACTGGGGGTCACTAGCAGACACTGGGGTCACTAGCAGTCACTGGGGGTCACTAGCAGACACTGGGGTCACTAGCAGTCACTGGGGTCACTAGCAGTCACTGGGGGTCACTAGCAGTCACTGGGGTCACTAGCAGTCACTGGGGTCACTAGCAGTCACTGGGGGTCACTAGCAGTCACTGGGGTCACTAGCAGTCACTGGGGGTCACTAATGATGCAAAAATTCTGAGGAGGATTAAGACAGAATAAGATCGTATGAGGCTACAAGATGACATAAACAAGCTGAAGGAATGATAAATGTGTTGTAATAATTGTCTAACAAGGCAATTAATACAACACATTTAAATGTTGATCCAAATACATCAGTCAGAAAATACAATAAAAACAATAAGAGAATTTGTAATAATGTGAATTATCTCAGTCACTTATCCTCTAGTGTTGATAAAAAAAATTAAAATAAATTATCAAATACGGACACAGTAGTTTAATGTATATACACTAAACTACTGTGTAGGTATTGAATTATTTTGGGATCAACATATGAAGTACATGTACATGAATATGTAGTACATATTCTTCAGTAATATGTACATATTCTTCAGTATTATGTACATATTCTTCAGTAACATGTACATGTTACTGAAGAACATGTACATATTCTTCAGTAATATGTACATATTCTTCAGTAATATGTACATATTCTTCAGTAACATGTACATATTCTTCAGTAACATGTACATATTCTTCAGTAACATGTACATATTCTTCAGTAACATGTACATATTCTTCAGTAACATGTACATATTCTTCAGTAACATGTACATATTCTTCAGTAACATGTACATATTCTTCAGTAACATGTACATATTCTTCAGTAACATGTACATATTCTTCAGTAACATGTACATATTCTTCAGTAACATGTACATATTCTTCAGTAACATGTACATATTCTTCAGTAACATGTACATATTCTTCAGTAACATGTACATATTCTTCAGTAACATGTACATATTCTTCAGTAACATGTACATATTCTTCAGTAACATGTACATATTCTTCAGTAACATGTACATATTCTTCAGTAACATGTACATATTCTTCAGTAACATGTACATATTCTTCAGTAACATGTACATATTCTTCAGTAACATGTACATATTCTTCAGTAACATGTACATATTCTTCAGTAACATGTACATATTCTTCAGTAACATGTACATATTCTTCAGTAACATGTACATATTCTTCAGTAACATGTACATATTCTTCAGTAACATGTACATATTCTTCAGTAACATGTACATATTCTTCAGTACCATGTACATAGTCTTCAGTAACATGTACATAGTCTTCAGTAACATGTACATATTCTTCAGTAACATGTACATAGTCTTCAGTAACATGTACATATTCTTCAGTAACATGTACATATTCTTCAGTAACATGTACATATTCTTCAGTAACATGTACATAGTCTTCAGTAACATGTACATATTCTTCAGTAACATGTACATATTCTTCAGTAACATGTACATATTCTTCAGTAACATGTACATATTCTTCAGTAACATGTACATAGTCTTCAGTAACATGTACATATTCTTCAGTAACATGTACATATTCTTCAGTAACATGTACATATTCTTCAGTAACATGTACATATTCTTCAGTAACATGTACATATTCTTCAGTAACATGTACATATTCTTCAGTAACATGTACATATTCTTCAGTAACATGTACATATTCTTCAGTAACATGTACATATTCTTCAGTAACATGTACATATTCTTCAGTAACATGTACATATTCTTCAGTAACATGTACATATTCTTCAGTAACATGTACATATTCTTCAGTAACATGTACATAGTCTTCAGTAACATGTACATATTCTTCAGTAACATGTACATATTCTTCAGTAACATGTACATATTCTTCAGTAACATGTACATATTCTTCAGTAACATGTACATATTCTTCAGTAACATGTACATATTCTTCAGTAACATGTACATATTCTTCAGTAACATGTACATATTCTTCAGTAACATGTACATAGTCTTCAGTAACATGTACATATTCTTCAGTAACATGTACATATTCTTCAGTACCATGTACATATTCTTCAGTAACATGTACATATTCTTCAGTAACATGTACATATTCTTCAGTAACATGTACATATTCTTCAGTAACATGTACATATTCTTCAGTAACATGTACATATTCTTCAGTAACATGTACATATTCTTCAGTAACATGTACATATTCTTCAGTAACATGTACATATTCTTCAGTAACATGTACATATTCTTCAGTAACATGTACATATTCTTCAGTAACATGTACATATTGTTCAAGTTTCCTCGGTACGAGTAAAGTAAAAAAAAAATAGTAATAAAAAAAATAGACATTTGCTAGGAGCAGGAGAAGTAAAAACAGACCAAGAATTACCTTTAAACTTTTATACGAGGTAATCCCGAGTTTTAGTGATGTGTTATAACTCCATCCGGCTCGGGCAGCATGAGCCTCGCGAGGCCCCAAGTGGCCAAAACGTTCCCGTAAAGAGGTTCAGAGGGACTGGTAGACGGTGGTGCGCAGAGTACGGCCAACACGCCTCCAACCCCCACCACTTATATCCCCGGAGACAGACTAGCTTAAGTCCAGGGAAAGTATTCCTTTACCCCCCCCCCCCTCTCTTTCTCTCTCCCTCCCAACCACTTGGGCTGGTCGGTAGAGCGACGGTCTTGTATCATGCAGGTCGGCGTTCAATCCCTGACCGTCTAAGTGGTTGGGCACCATTCCTTCTCCCCGTCCCATCCCAAACCCTTTTCCTGACCCCTTCCCAGTGCTATATAGTCGTTGTGGCTTTGTGCTTTATCCTGAGTCCCCCTTCCCTCCCCTCCCTCCTCTCCAAAGTTTCTTGGAAAGTGCAAAATGGCAACGCCACATTTCTTGTTGCCGTAGTGTTGGGTGAGATTATCACTGAACAGGCGCTATGTAACGACCAGGCTCATTGGTCGTAACACCACACACCGCAGACCCTCCTCAGACTAAGTCTATTCCATCCAGCGCTCGACCCCAAACACCCATTCATCAATCATACAGCCCGTCCTCCAAACAAAGATCCAAAAGTGATTCCATGCACCCGCCAAACCCCCTGTTTATGAATGAAAAACGGTTTACACACGACTCACAACTGCTGACGTTCGAACACTTCCGGAACAAGTGTTTCACTGACGAATTTTGTTCGAATCACAACGCTATAAATGCTTCACCCACGTACTACAAATACAAATAATTGTCAACAGAACCTAATCACCTAACCTAACCTAACCTATCCTGTACCTATATATACACAATATGCTAATATATTATAATATTAATTTATACTTGAGAAAATTCCCGTTTTGAATGAACAGCATGTTAAAATTTATGAATGCGTCTGTGGGGTTGACCGCTGAATGTAATGGACTGGAGTCGAGGACGGGTTGAAATGCTTCACCCACGTACTACGAATACAAATAATCGCCAACAGAACCTAAACACCTAATCTAACCTATGCCTATATATGCACAATATGCTAATATATAATAAAATTATTTATATTTGAGAAAATTCGTATTTTCATTGATCAGCATGTTATGATTGCAACCCGTCGTCGACTCCAGTCCATTACATTCAGCGGTCAACCCCACAGACGCATTCATAAATTTTAACATGCTGTTCATTCAAAACGGGAATTTTCTCAAGTATAAATTAATATTATAATATATTAGCATATTGTGTATATATAGGTACAGGATAGGTTAGGTTAGGTTAGGTGATTAGGTTCTGTTGACAATTATTTGTATTTGTAGTACGTGGGTGAAGCATTTATAGCGTTGTGATTCGAACAAAATTCGTCAGTGAAGCACTTGTTCCGGAAGTGTTCGAACGTCAGCAGTTGTGAGTCGTGTATAAACCGCTTTTCATTCATAAACACGGGGTTTGGCGGGTGGATGGAATCACTTTTGGGTCTTTGTTTGGAGGACGGGCTGAGCATTTACAGCGTTGTGGTTCGAACAAAAGTCGTCAGTGAAGCACTTGTTCCGGAAGTGTTCGGACGTCATCAGTTGTGAGTCGTGTGTAAACCGTTTTTCATTCATAAACAGCTGGGGGTTTGGCGGCTGGATGGAATGGTCTTTGGGGTCTTTGTTTACGAAGACGGGTTCTCGATCGTCGCTGACAATAAACAACAACACCGTTAGTTTAGTTCCTATCTAATCGTGTGGGCGGTAGGGTTACAGAGGCACATAATGGGCTCAGGGACTGAACCCCACAATTCATTTAGCTAAGCAAGTTACAATCTTGATGAGCTAGTTACAAAATTCAGTGCACATCGTTACGTCAACAATGGGCTCGAGATCGACCACAAGTACAGTTTCTAAACTAAGCAACTGACGGATGTGGAGAGCTACCTTGGTTACCTTGAGGTTACCTTGTGGTGCTTCCGGGGCTTAGCGTCCCCGCGGCCCGGTCGTCGACCAGGCCTCCTAGTTGCTGGACTGATCAACCAGGCTGTTGGACGCGGCTGCTCGCAGCCTGACGTATGAGTCACAGCCTGGTTGATCAGGTATCCTAGTGTCACAATTGATATGTTTGTCCTGCACATCGCCCCCCATTCAGTGGGCAGCGGTGGATAGGTTACAATCACTCAGTTACTGCCTACAGTTAGCAAACTGGGGATATTTGGCTATTATATCTGGTAGCAGTTCATTTTGAAAGAAATATTTACACATTTCTTGAACATTTGTTATAGAATTTCGTCTGAATTCACGTATCTTTTCGCACTCCATCACAGTGACGGAGGGTGTGCGAATAATTTTGTTGACACAGTTTACATTTGGTCAGGTCTACATCAGCAGATAATGAGAATTCCCAGAGATACTTGTAACCGAGTCTAAGCCGAGCAGTAGTAACATCTAGAAGTCTGCTGATTATATTGGATGAACCATAGATGTGTGGCTCCTCTTGCATGATAGTATGATGATAGATGGAATTACTGGTGACGATTTGACTGCCTCAGAGCTACAAGGTTTTGTTGAAGTTCTCGGTGTACTGCTGCTCTCAGACTGCTTGTAGGTATTCCAAGGTTATACTCAGTTCCACCTTCGTAGTCAGATTCTTTGGCACAACAACACACAAAACGCTTTTCAAGTTAGAAGTGGTTTGCAAACATTTACATTTGCGAACATAGTTCATATACTTTATAGGAATAATGGTATCAAGGACTAATTACACATCAGTATACAAAACTGAGAGGTGAATCAGAAGGTATTATAATTTATTATCATATAATATTACAAAGACAAAGTGAAATAAATAGAGACTATGTGACTTGTGTATGTGACTCTTGAGATCAACTATTACATTAATTATTAAAAACATTACGTAATACTATGCATAGTTGAACAAATAATTACGCGAGACAGAGATAAAGGGAGACACACAGATACATTCAGAAACACAGACACACACACATACTCACAGGTAATGAAACTAGGTAGTGGAAACAGGAGGCCAGACACAGGATACTGAATGAGAGAAGAAGTCTTGGACAGAGAGAAAGATCTAGGAGTTGATATCACACCAAACCTGTCTCCTGAAGCCCACATAAAAAGAATTACATCTGCAGCATATGCGAGGCTGGCTAACATCAGAACAGCCTTCAGTAACCTGTGTAAGGAATCATTCAGAACCTTGTATACCACATATGTAAGACCAATCCTGGAGTATGCAGCCCCAGCATGGAGCCCGTACCTTGTCAAGCATATGAAGAAGCTGGAGAAAATTCAGAGGTATGCTACTAGGCTAGTCCCAGGACTAGGAGGCACGAGTTACGAGGAAAGGCTGCGGGAAATGCACCTCACGACTCTTCTGGAAGACAGAAGAGTAAGGGGGTGACATGATCACAACCTATAAAATTCTCAGAGGTATTGATAAGGTAGATGAGGATAAACTGTTTAACACGAGGGGTACGCGAACAAGGGGACACAGGTGGAAACTGAATACCCACATGAGCCACAGGGACGTTAGAAAGAACTTTTTCAGTGTCAGAGTAGTTAACAGGTGGAATGCATTAGGCAGTGATGTGGTGGAGGCTGACTCCATACACAGTTTCAAGTGTAGATATGATAGAGCCCAGTAGGCTCAGGAACCTGTACACCTGTTGATTGACAGTTGAGAGGCGGGACCAAAGAGCCAGAGCTCAACCCCCGCAAGCACAACTAGGTGACCACACACACACACACTCACACACACACAGGAGGCAGGAGTAAAAGGGAAGGTGCTCCAGTGGATAAGGGAGTACTTAAGCAACAGGAAACAGCGAGTAACTGTGAGGGGGAGACATCAGAGTGGCGAGATGTCACCAGCGGAGTCCCACAGGGCTCAGTACTTGGACCCATCCTGTTTCTAATATATGTGAACGATCTTCCGGAAGGTATAGACTCATTCCTCTCAATGTTTGCTGATGATGCAAAAATTATGAGAAGAATCAAGACGGATGAAGATAGACAGAGACTACAGGATGACCTGGATAAACTGGAGGAATGGTCTAGAAAATGGCTGCTGAAGTTCAACTCTGGAAAGCGTAAGGTGATGAAATTAGGCGAAGGGAGCAGGAGGCTGAACACAAGGTATCATCTGGGAGGGGAAATCCTGCAAGAATCAAATAGAGAGAAGGATCTGGGGGTTGATATCACACCGAACCTGTCCCCAGAGGCCCACATCAAAAGAATATCATCAGCGGCATATGCTAGACTGGCCAACATAAGTACTGCCTTCAGAAACTTGTGTAAGGATTCTTTCAGAACCCTGTATACCACTTATGTAAGACCAATCCTGGAGTATGCAGCTCCAGCCTGGAGTCCATACCTAGTTAAACACAAGACAAAGTTAGAGAAGATTCAGCGGTATGCCACCAGGCTCGTCCCGTCTCGTCTTAAATTCAACACGGACAACGTCATGATGAATATTATTCAACACACTTGAAAATACCTAAGTGTAATTACCTAAGTGTAGTTACAAGATGAGAGCTACCTGCTTGATGCTTGCTTGATGGGGTTCTGGGAGTTCTTCTACTCCCGAGGGTTCGAACCTACGAAGCCTACCAAGAGAGTTCGAAGCTCAGTCGATTAAGGCGCGTCTGGGATCCTCTCGGACGTAGGTTCGAGCCCTCGTTACGGCCCTTGTGGATTTGTTCACTAGGAAAGTTGTTTTCTGCTAAGCTTAACCTCAAAAGCTATCAATTATTCGTCTTGAATTGTTA